AAAAAAAAAAACGTTGAAAAAAAAAATTAAAAAAAAAAAAAAATCTGAAATTTAACTTAGGAAAGTGGAATTGTGGCCTAAGTTATTTCCCTTTTTTGTTTTGATGTCCTGAAACATATGTTTGTTTGTTTTAATTTTCAGGCAAAATAAAAAAAAGATTGTAGTTCTATATAAGTAAGGCTGTAGTATACTTTACCTAAAATTTTAAACAAATTAGAAGTTAGAAAAGAAATAAATGAGAAAAACAAATCTTTAAAGATAGAAGAAAAAGCATTGTCTTTGGCATTTCCTCTCTTACAAAATCTTTTCTGTATCAACTTTCTGTGTCACCTTCAGCACCTTTTTTCTGTATCTCCACAGGTGAAAGACCTCATTTTCTATGAAGAGTATTTTATTTCAGGCTAGAGGGAAAGTTACTCACATATTGCCCTTACTTTCTGCAATAAATAGTTAAAGCCATTTATTTGAAATCAATATATTTTTTTCAGGAGTTGGTCTGCCTAATGATAGAAGTTAGGGCTCATATGTGTATTTTGAATCTTTGTGCTTTCTACTAGTTCAGCCAAATTGGAGCTCTATGAAACTCTCAATGATGATTCAGGAAGCGAATGCCATCAGCAACAAATTTAAAAAATATTATGTTTTTGGCAGGTGAGCAATTATCTTAATTATACAGTAATTCTTTGTTTTAAACTAACTGACCCTCATATGATTGCTTTCTAAATTTAGTTTCCATAAAGGTACAGTATCTGTAGTGCCTGCCTAGAACAGTATCAGAATCCCCAATAACACTCGCAGATACCCCTTTCCGGACTCACTCTGGAGTAAAAGACTTTCGACAATTACCATACTGTACTAAATATATTTATAAAATAAATATTTATTTTAAGCATTTTTAAGTATATTTAAGTATACAATAAAATATACTTATTTTATAAACATAATAATTTTAGATGTTTTAGGAATTTACTAATTTTCTTTTGAGTTACAAACTTATTACAAGTTTGGAAAGAAATATACGTGATTAGAATTTGATTTTTAAAATTTTTATAGAAGAAGTTATTCTTATATATACTAGACATGAGTTTTACTTTAATAAAAATGTTAACAGTGGAGAGAGATATTTAATCAGTGGACTGCATTTTCATGGAAGTTATTCTAATTCAGAAAACCCTTAGTATAAATGTGTATGTATGTTTTAGGGTAAGCAGTTTTCTTTGGTTTTTCTTTCAGACATGATGTATCAGATAAAGGAAGTAGTTCGGACACTTCTGTGCGGGTTCGTAACTTACAACTAGGGATCTCAACTTTCTGGAGTCTGGAAAAATTTGAATCTAAGCTGGCAGCAATGAAAGAACTTTATGAGGTTTGGAATATTATTAAAATCTCTATAAACTTTTTGAAATAAAAAATATGTAAGTGACATGTTCTTAGTAAAGAAAATTGGTAAATAAAGGAAAAGGCAATTTACATTACCCAAACCAACCGGTATTACCAATTATGTATGTTTATTTTACTTTTGCCTATAGATGGGCTTCTATTGATTTGTTTTAATATAGTTATGAATGTAGGGGCGCCTGGGTGGCTCAGTCTGTTAAGCGTCTGACTTCAGCTCAGGTCATGATCTCATGGTTCGTGAGTTTGGTCCCCGCATCTGACTCTGCACTGACAGTGTGGAGCCTGCTTAGAATTCTCTCTCCCTCTCTTTCTGTGCACCTCCCCAGCTCATTCTCTCTCTCTCTCTCTCTCTCTCTCACTCTCTCTCTTTCTCCCTCTCTCTCTCTTTCTCTCAAAAAAATAAAAATAAAAAATATTTAAAAACTAATATGCGCAGATATATTTTTAGTTCTATTAAAAAGCAAACAATTAGAAACACCAAAAAGCAAAGCAATGGGGAAATATAAATTTAATTATGTAAAATGCATATTATAGGCATTGAAGATCATTACAAATGATACAAAGTGTTTTATGTCTATGAAATTTCTTCTTCCCTTAAGTTTAAATGTAAAAGTTTGAAAACACACAATTATAACTGTGTGTGAACAGATTAATAGAATATACAAAATTAATATAATTAATAATTTCCAAATTTTCTGCAATGAATGTGGATTGCTTGTGTAATTAGAGCAACAAAAAAACTGTATTGAAGTCATTTGGTCATTCTTGCTTTGACAGATGCATTAAAGTATGGTTTGTGAGTTACCTTCATTATCTTCCTACTTTCAGCTGTTGCAATATTCTTTGATTATTTTTTTCTATATAATTATACTATTTCTGAATCAAGCTCTATATGTATAGTATTTTTTTAGAACTTTAATTAATATTAGTTTAAATACTTAAAATTCAGATTACTATCAGGATTAATATATTTAACCAGGGAGTAATTGAATTTTAATGTTGTCATATTATTTTGCTTCTGAGGATTTATCTTTCCTGTTCTTACTATGTCTTCTAAATCCCAAGTTTATTTTTTTGAATCATTTAATGGTTTCTGTTTCTTTTATTAGTAGAGCTCTTTTAATACAATTTCTAGCATCATGTGCTTGATTTTTTGTTTTATCAGGAATGTGATATTTCTAGACTTCTATCGGGTAACCTATGCTTTTGCTAATTTTTAAAATTTGAAATGTAACAAACTTAAACTTTTTTTTTCTCTTAGTAGCTAAACATTTTTAGCCCAAC